CCACGCGCACACACACACGCACACACACTGTCTGCCGTAGTAAGTCTCCAAACTGGACTGAGTTCCAGAAAGCGCACGTCACCTACACATGGAAATTCCTGTGTCTGGAATGGAATGTGCTCGCTCTCTCTCTCTCCCTCCCTGGATGGATGCATCCTGTTTACCTAATTCTAGAGAGTATTAGGCACAAGTTGGCCAAGAGCAAGGCGTAGGTGGCGCCTAGTGTGTGCGTTGGGGGTAACGGCTGGGGTCTGACCTGCTGAAACCGCACAGCTTGCCATTGAGAGCACTGCCTGGCAAGCTTTCCCGGTGCTTGTCCAGCGAGGACCACCCTCGCTGTCAGGGCTTTGGCTTGCGGGGTTAACGGGAGCTGAGTGGGAGTTGTTGGGGCCCACGTCAGCGCTCTGAGGCGCCACCCTGCGTGGAGGGCGCTATATAAGCGCAAGTTGTTGTTGTTGGTGTGCCAGTGCCTTGGGATGTCCTCCCGACGTGAAAGGCGTTGTACAAGTATAGTTTCTTCTTCTGTGCATTGTGGAGCTAGGTCAGGGCTTGGACCGCACCCCCCCACCAACCCAATCCCCCACCCTCTCCCTCTCTCTCTCTCCCCTCCCGCCCTCCCTCGACCCTCCGGCCGCTGGCTGAGAAAACGTGACCTACATTGAAGCAGTGAGACTGGGCTCAGGGATGCGAGATCCCTGACAGGTGTGTGAGATGTGGAGCAGGAACCAGCGATGTGATGAGTTAACATTCTCCAGGGAGCAGCAATCCAGGTTATCTGGAGAGATCTTTGGTTTTAAATATCTCCTGCCTGTTTCACTGAAACACACCAGAGACAGCGCTTGCCGTTTCACTGAGAGCTATAGTGAGGAGGGGATTGGGTCCCACTAATATCCTAAGGACTTACAATAATAATAACTAATAATTATAAATATAAAACAATTATTTATCCATGCCTTTGTACTGTCCCTTTCACGTCGGATGGATGTCTAAGCGCTTCACGGTGGTACTCTTGTCAAGTGTAGTGACTGTGTGATTTGTAGGCAAACATGGCGGCCGATTGTACACTCGCAAACAACCATCTGGGTGGTGGTGGGGGGGGGAATTGTCGGCCAGGACAGACAGAGAGAGAGAGGCAGAGAGAAGCCCTTCTCTTTTCCAATTGCGCTGCTTGCTCTTCAATTAACGTCCGCCTGGACAGTGGACAGATGGGGACGTTTAAAATCTCATCGGAAGGACGGTGTTTCCGACAATGCCTGGCTCTTCCTGCCCCCCCAACCCCCACACACACACAAACACAAACAAACTCTTTCTACGGAACCTCCCCTCCTTTTTATGCCGGTGTCCGAATGCCCCCTTTCATCCAGCGTATGATTCAGCAGTCTGGCCACGAGTCAGGCTTTGCTAATCTATTAATTGTTGCTCCAATCCTGCCTGTTTAACACCTCATTAGTCCCCAACGACTACAGTTTAATGGTGTGTAAATGTCACCAGCAAAAAGCTCCCCATCGCCTTGAATTGCCCTCTTCCCGCCCCCCCCTCCCCACCCCCCCAAAAAAAATCTCGCCCCGTCGCTGTCTCGTGGGGTAGAACTCTATCTCGTTGAGAAAAAGGAAAGCAGAAATGCGGTCTGTAGCGACATGGCTGGTCATGTCAATCTACCCCGGGGAGGTGTGACGATTTACCCCAAGAAACAATCCCTGAACTCGTGGTAGTGCCTAATAATACCCCCCCCCCCCCACACACACACACACACAGAGTTGGTGACGTCGCCCCCTCCTTGAACACACCCAACCACTCGCCCACAAATGTGACCCTTCGCCTTCAAAGTGCTCACTGTCATTACGCTTCACGGCAAAAATCCTGGGAAGTGCTTTGAGATGTCTCGGTGATATGAAGGGACTGTCTCAAATACAAGGGTTTGACATCTTCCCCCCCCCCGCCCGCACCCCCCCCCACCCCATCTCTCCTCTCCTTCCCTTTCTCACATAATCTCTCCCTGTCTCATTCTCTCTCTCTCTTGCGCTCTCTCTCCGTGTCTCATTCTCTCGCCTGGGTTTACATGTTGATGAGATATGGCCAGTGGATGGATTGTGGTGGTTTTTGTACATGTTATTTTGTCATAACTATAAATTCTCACCGGCATATTTCACAGAGATGCTGCTTTTTGCAGCGAATGTAATGACAAATTATTTCTGGCGGGCTTCACATTATACAGCAGTCACACTCAGCTCTGTGTGTGTGTGTGTGTGTGAGAGAGAGAGAGAGAGAGGCACTGACTTCATCCACTGGGGTAAAAATGTACACTTCCAGCACTGGACCATTGACCTGGTCAACGAATCCTGACGTCAACTCCCAGAACAGGAGGGAAGGTGTGGGTGGAGAGAAAGAGAGAGGGTTGGGAGACAGGGGGAGGGGGGGAGAGAGAGTGGGGGAAGAAAGAAAGAGGGACGGAGAGAGTGGGGGAGAGGGGAGGGGGAGAGAATGGGGGGGTGGGGGTAGAGGGAGAGAGAGGGGTGGAAGTGAACAGGCGACATCCTAGTGTTAAACAGCCCCACTCTGCATTGAGTGTAAGATGTGACTCAATTTCGGTGCTTGATGTTAATTGAAGCTTTGACCCTCTCACAAACATTACCAAACTCAGCCGAGTGCCCCGTTGAGAGGTGGGGGTGGGGGGCGCTGCAGTGTGACGCTCAACATCTGCGGCCAAACCTCTGCTTGTATTTTATTAAGGAATTATATTGGGAAATCGCATCAGAGGCTGTCTCTAAAAATTAACAGCGTAGAAATGGTCAGCGTTAAGCAAAGCTGTGTGTTTCTCCAGCTTCAAGGGCTGTTAATCCTTTATTAGCTAATGGGCTGACACTAAGCTAAACCACACTTTTATCATTGTAAAGCTCGTCTGTAACATTCAACTGACTTTTATGGGGGCGATTTGTCACAACGGGACTGGGCTGCGAGGGGTGACAGTGAGCAGAGGGGGCTTTAACGGGGGGGCTGTGCATTGCTCACTATTAAGAATTTCCGTGGAGGACTGTAGCGTATTGTTGGTTAGAGGGCTCGCCTTGCAAGCGAGGGGAACCTGGGTTCGATTCCCGGGAGGGGTGAAGCATTAGGCAAGTTTCCTTACTCCCACCAGTCTCTCTTTACCCAGCAGTAAGTCGGGACCCGGTTGTTAGTCGATTGGCGGATCGCTTTTCCGGGGGGTAATAATCCCTTGAAAAACAATTAATCGGTCACTTCAATCCGTGACTGTGCGGAATCGGCTGCTGCCTTTCGCCCGCAAAATACACAGTCACTGCACTTCACAATCCGTTCTGTGAAGCGCCTCGAGGCGTTTCAACGACGTGGTGAGGTTTCCCCGGACGGAGACGGGGGTGGGGTGGGGGGAAAGAGGGGGTGCCCAGCCAAACGCGCTCAGTAATCCTCAGCTCAATGTCAGGCCGGCGAGGAGTCGCGAATCTCTTTAATAAAAGGGTCACTATCGCGTCTCATATATGTGACAGACAGACACCAGGAGATAAATCACCCAGTCGCGGTTGTCAGCTCAGTGTGGCTCCGCTCTGGTGTTTAATCAGGGGTCTGACGCAGCTTTCTGTCTCTGGTGCTCTCCCCCCACTACCCACAATTACTGTCAGCGAACGCCAGCGAATGTTCACCCACCCCCACACTCCTGCACCCTCCCCGCTGTCTCGTTGGCTGTTCCTTGGGCCCAGGGTTTCCAGGCTTGATGCTTTCTAAAATAACAACCCCCCACCGCCCCCCGGCGATGAGTGGGATGTTTTGGGATTAAGGAGGATTCGGGGATCACTCCCGGGTTAGAGACAGAGGAGAGCAGCGAGGAACGATTAGATAAGGCAAGGCTCTTCAGTTTTGAGAAGCGATATCTCTGAGGACACTCCATAAATATGTATAAGATGCTAAATGGGTTTGAGACAGCAACAGGAGTTTCAGATACCCTGAACGAGGCGGGGTGGGGAGGGGAGGTGAGAGAGCATGGGTTCAGGGGTGTGAAGGGCAATTTTGAAGAGAGACACGAGATAGATAAGAGACGTCAGCCTGGGCTGTGAGCTCAGACTCCCCAACGTGGGGCTTCAACCCGCAACCTTCTGACTCTGAGGCCGATGGGGGTGAGCGAGCCAGGCTGATGGAGGAGCACATTGCGATTCTGTGCTGGTGTGAAGTGGTGCTCTGAATTTGGATTGAGTGATCAGGATTACAGTCCGAGTTTGGGCAGCGTGCTGCGTGCAGGTGGCCTGTAAATCTGCAGCATTGACTGGAGCTTTCGCAGGAGTTTAATAGGCGACTGGGTTGTCAACGAGTGAAACATCTGTGGGGAGCAGCAGGCAGATGTGCAGTTGTCAGTCGCTGGGCTATTTCCCTGGCCGGGGTGGGGGGGGTACGGGTGTGGGGCTGGTGGGGTTGGGAGAAGACATGAGCTGCAGCCAGTGGGTGTGAAGGCAATGATGCCACTCACCCGCTGCTGGTGTCGTGCGTCTCGCAGTGATTTGCTAATCGCTGCATCCGATCCGTAACACTCCAATCGATGGCTGTACGAAGACAGAGCCGCTGTGGCTTAATTATTCCTAATTACACCTCCTCGGAGGCTAATGGTTCACACTCGCGGTCGCTCGCCTGTTGTGTTTGGAGGAGAGTTTTGGACGTGGCCAGATTGATTTCACTGCAAACATTTCGTCAATTACTCAGTGCGTTAATTACCTCTGAGACCAAAAACTCCCGTCGAGGCGAAAAGAAAGAAAGACTTTAGACAATCAATCTTCTCGCCTGTCTTGTCCCGGTCTCCTCTCGGGTTTGGGATCCAGTCGTGTCGTGGCGAGTGGGCTTCGATTCGCGGGCCGGGGAGACACCTTAGGGAAGTTTCCTCGCTCGCACGCTCACACGCCTCTGTTTCCCCAGCAGTAAGTTCCTATTCCATGCAAGTTTGACGTACCTCAGACTTACGACTGACTCGTCTGACCTGTGCCTGTGTTTTGCTTCCCCAGGGGTGCAGTGCCGTGGCGCTGGCGGGGGTCCGGGGGGCACGGACAGCGCTCAGCGCTTCTCCTCGCTGCCCGTCTACCTGCCCGTCCGCTACCAGCTGAGCCGGGCCGAGATGTCCTTCTTCCTGAAGGAGGCGGCGCAGGACATCATGAGGAACGCCAGCCTGCAGGTCCGGGCAGAACCTTTCTTCGTGCAGCGAGCCAAGGACATGCCGGTGGTCAACGCCACCTACGGGCCTTACACGGTACAGCGGGCCGTGCCGCGGGGCTTGCTCCAGGCCTCCGACCCCTTCACCACGGTGGAGAGGTTCACCCTGAACTGGCGGATCCGCACGGCCGTGCTGGTGGAGCGGCTCTTCCCGGACCGGCCCACCGTGCAGGTCCTGTTCCACATCACCGGCCGCGACTGGGACGATTACAGCCCGGACGACGACTTGCCGTGCGTCCGGCTGTACGGCTTCTGGGAGACGCGGGAGGTGCGGAGCGGCTGCCGGCTGGCCGGGGACCTGGGGCTGTGCGTGGCGGAGCTGGAGCTGCCGGGGTCCTGGTTCGAGGCGCCGGCCGTGGTGCCGGGCCGGAGGAAAGCCTCCTCGGCCGGCGCGGAGCCCGGGGACGGGACGGCCGTGGAGCTGTACTACCTGGTGCAGCCGGCCGACCAGGCCGGGGAGTGCGACGCCGGCGAGAACAGGAAAGGCAACGCCATCCGGCCGGGCCGCGGCGATGGGGAGGGGACCGGGGCGGGCGAGTGGGACGGAGCCGGAGCCGGGGCGGGCACAGCGCCTGACTACCTGCAGCGCGTCGGTAGCATCAGGCTGCACCGAGGCTCGGGCGACGCCCTCGCCAGGCTCACCGAGGTGCGGCTGGATGCCAACCTGGTCATCGCTGCCCGCCAGGGGGCAGTGAAGCAAGGGGAGGTCGTGACCTTCCGCGTCTCGCTGGCCCCTGGCTCTGCCGTGGAGCAGTTCACGCTCAGGTAAACACCGGGGGAACGGCCGGTGGGGTTGAGGTGGTGGGGGGGGGGGAGCAGGGGGTGCGAACTGGGGGCCTGGGCCGGGCTGGGCCGGGCCGGGCCGGGGGACTGATTGGGAGGGCGGGGGGGCACGGGACAAGGTTCTGGGTGGGATTCTCTGGTGACAAAGGGAATATTGAGGCTTTGGTTCAACACAGCACTGTCTGCGTTTCCCGTGACGTTCGTGTTCTGGAGGACGCCTCGATGTCGGCGGGAGGCGAGTGGGGGTGGGGGGGGGGGGGGGGAAAGGGGGCAGCGCGGCGATGAGGTACGTCTCAAAACTTGGCTCGACGGAGGGCGTCGGGGCACAGGAGGACGCTGCTGTGCGCAATTGGCTGCCGCGTTTCGCAAACAAAAGTACACAGTCACTACACTTTACAGTCATTTCTACGAAGCGCTTTGAGACGTCCTGACGGCGTGATAAGGTGCGACATCAAATGCAAGGAGTGTTATTATTCTGGGGGAGCACGGACCTCAGCGGATGGGGTGGGGTGGGGTGGGGTGGGGAAGTGTTTCTGGATTCAAGCGACGAGGGGAATGAGAATGTGCAGCGAGAATGGTACCGTGGGAGAGGAGATCCTTGTTGATTGCAATCCTCGCTGTCTGTCTGTCTGTCTGTCTGTCTGTCTGTCTGTCTGTCTGTCTGTCTGTCTGTCTGTCTGTCTGTCTGTCTGTCTGTCTGTCTGTCTGTCTGTCTGTCTGTCTGTCTGTCTGTCTGTCTGTCTGTCTGTCTGTCTGTCTGTCTGTCTGTCTGTCTGTCTGTCTGTCTGTCTGTCTGTCTGTCTGTCTGTCTGTCTGTCTGTCTGTCTGTCTGTCTGTCTGTCTGTCTGTCTGTCTGTCTGTCTGTCTGTCTGTCTGTCTGTCTGTCTGTCTGTCTGTCTGTCTGTCTGTCTGTCTGTCTGTCTGTCTGTCTGTCTGTCTGTCTGTCTGTCTGTCTGTCTGTCTGTCTGTCTGTCTGTCTGTCTGTCTGTCTGTCTGTCTGTCTGTCTGTCTGTCTGTCTGTCTGTCTGTCTGTCTGTCTGTCTGTCTGTCTGTCTGGTCTGTCTGTCTGTCTGTCTGTCTGTCTGTCTGTCTGTCTGTCTGTCTGTCTGTCTGTCTGTCTGTCTGTCTGTCTGTCTGTCTGTCTGTCTGTCTGTCTGTCTGTCTGTCTTCCTGTCTTTCTTCCTTCCTGTCTGTCTGTCTGTCTGTCTGTCTGTCTGTCTGTCTGTCTGTCTGTCTGTCTGTCTGTCTGTCTGTCTGTCTGTCTGTCTGTCTGTCTGTCTGTCTGTCTGTCTGTCTGTCTGTCTGTCTGTCTGTCTGTCTGTCTGTCTGTCTGTCTGTCTGTCTGTCTGTCTGTCTGTCTGTCCCTCTGTCTGACCGCACGGAATGAGCTGCGCTGTTTTTTAAGAGAAACAATTTTGGACTGATTTTCAAGCAGGTCTTTAAACGGCTCTGTGCCTTGCCAGGCTCCACAACATCAATTATTCCTCGCCCGTGAGTGCGCCTGGGAGTCCTGCCGTCCCACCTCTCCCCCCCCCGCGCTCTGGTTAGGCTGAGGATGAATTTTCAATCAGCAAAACTATTAGTGAGAAGTGGAGACATCAAAGGAGCTCTCTCTCTCTCTCTGTGTCTCTCGCCATCTCTCCATCTCTCTCTCTCTCTCTCTCTCTCATTCCCCAGGCGTGGCGAGGAGCTGACAGCAACCATTTACCGCAACGCGGGCCGGGCTGGGCTGGCTTTTGCACGCTTGCCGTTTACACGCCTGTCGTTTTACACGCTCGTGGTTTGGTTTGCACACTCGGGGGTTTACACAAACGCAGGCGTGCTTTTACATGCAACAAGGGTTAGCATAGCCTGCGAGTGGCGTGTCAGTGCACGCGCTCGCTTTACGCGCCCGCACTTTTGCACGCCCGCTCGCGGTTTACACGCTGGCTGGGGATTTGCCTGCGATGACGGTAGAGATTGGCCGTCGGTGTCTCGAAATGGGGGGTGGTATGGTGAGCGAGGAAAGGGGGAGGGGTGGGGGTGCGGTTGACTGAATGGACTCCCTGTGTCCCCCGCGCCGATGGCCGGTAACGGTTGTGTTTGTTCGGAACAGGGCGAAGGCGAAGAAGGGGGTGAGCATCGTGGAGGTGAGGCCCAGCGACCCCGAGCAGTGGGACATCCAGCAGGAGTTGGGCAATGGGGGCAAACACCCCGTCTCCACCGTGATGTGCCGCAGGAAGCCGGGAGCCCCCCGCCAAGGGTAAGCCACCGGGAACCACGCCCTCACCGGCGCTGATCCCCCACCCCCGGGGGGGGGGGGGCTGAGGGGTGGGAAGGGGGTCGTGAAAATGCCACGTGTTATCATAAAGGCCAGATAACGTGGTGTGTGATGTGCTAATTGTCTGGTCGTTAACTGCCAACTATAACACCATTCCCACATGTACGTAACTCCCTCCCCACGCACATGCACACACATGATGATCTACTACTTCTTCCCCCCACCACCCCCCCATCCTACCCCACGTCCCTGGATACAAATTATGTTGGTGTGTGTGTGTGTGTCTGTGTGGTGGGGGGAGGGTTGTGTGTGGGGGAATGGGGTTCGGGGGACAGTTGGTGTGTTAAGACATTCAGAACTTTTAAGATCAGTAACGATTTTTAGTGTCGTTAATGATAATAATAATTGCAGAGAGGATGAATAAAACACTGGTTGTTAAACTGGGCCGAGCGCTCTGGGACGCTATCCTGCCTGAGGGACGCTATGTAACTGCGAGTTGTTGTTGTTGTTTTGGCGAGGGGTAGCAGTAGCGCAGTGCGGTCTGTGAGTGTCGGCGCCGGACCGTGTTACATGCGGTAATTAAATGCAACAGCGTGTTGTTGTGAAGAGGAGAACACGTCCGGGGCTGCCTGACATGTCGCCACATCACATCTGCCCATTAACAGCCAATTGTTTCCGAAAGGTTACAAGTAATTTAGGGCGATGTGCGTCGGGAGCTGTGTGTAACCCGGCCGTCACATTTGCTTCAATTTGTTTAGTTAAATCGGTGTCCGTCACACAGCCAAAGGCCAGTGTGTTGGTTTAGTGAATACTCCCTCTGTCTCTCTGTTTGTCTGTGTGTGTGGTGTCTGTCTGTGTCTCGCTCTGTGTGTGTGTGTGTGTGTGTCGTGTCTGTCTGTGTCGCTCTGTGTGTGTGTGTGTGTGTGTGTGTTTGGGGGGATATGACTTCCGAGGGAGGGGCAGCCAAAGAGGAGAACAAAGAAAATCAGGAAAGTTTATTGCAGCGATGAGGAGGAGGAGGATGATGAGGAGGAGGAGGATGAGGATGATGATGAGGAGGAAGATGACTTCATAGCGACGCGGGCACGGTGACACCACGCTGCGGGAGGAGCGCTGTTCTGCGCGCGGGTCGGGTTGCGGGTTGCCGTCCAATGGCCGTGAGATCGCGGCGCGAGCCGATCAATCAACCGCGCACCGACCGGAAAGCGGCCGGTGGGGGATTTTCGCCCAACGGCTCCGCCGCTCAACCGTCCCGGGCAGGCGGCCAGGCAGGGGCAGCGAGGGCTGAATACAGATGGATCCAGACACGGCGTGTCACACCGGGGTCCAGCGGCCATTAATCAAGGACTCGCTAATCTCACTTTTCTACACCTTGTATCAGCGAGTATCGATCCGAGCGAGAGACAGACAGTGATGAGAGACGTGCCCCCGGGGAAGGAGGGGGGTCATTACTCCGCACAAGCCGTACCCTCCGCTGTGTGTGGCTCCCCCCACACCCCCACCTCTCCTCTCCTCCCACCGCCTGTCTCTCTGTCAGACTCTCTCCCGCCTCTTCCCTGCTACTCCCGTTGGCGAGACGCGCGTCGGGAATTTGCCTGGGATTTTTTTATGGGATGGAACGCTTTTTATTTTCATTTAAACCGAAGCCCCCCGTCCCCCCGAGAGAGAGAGAGAGAGAGAGCGAGAGCGAGACAGAGAGACTGACTGAATGAGAGAGAGAGAGCGCGAGACTGACAGAGAGAGAGAGAGAGAGAGAAACTGACAAATAGAGAGAGAAAGAGAGAGAGCGCGCTGACAGAGAGAGAGAGAGAGAGAGTAGTGGGGGGGGCCAAGATTCTCCGTTCGCTTTTCGCACAGTCACTACACGTTGCAGTAATAGCCTGCAAAGCGCTGCGAGGAGTCCTGTGTTCACACGTCAGGGATGACATTGATGATTGTAATTATTTATACAATAATAATAATCATCAATGACACTACAAAGTAGGCAAAGGGGGTCAGGCGGTCGCTGACCCGCGGGAGGGAGGAGCAGCTGGTGTTGGGTTAGCCCGAGCCCTTCGCTGGCAGAGTGGCAGATGGGAGCACACAGCATGGCACAAGCTTCACGATAACGAGGTGCCAGGGCTGGCGAGGACTTCTGAAGGTGGAGATTGGATGGAGGTTTCGTGGAGTACTCTCTCTCTCCCTCTCTCTCTCTCTCTCTGTCTCTCCCCCCCACCCACCCGTCGTCACCCCCTCCCTCCTGCGTTGTGTGACCGCCTGTCCACACCGTCTCTTTCCCGTTGCGCCCTGGCGCCAGGTCAGCTTGCAAATCGCGCAGCGCGCACGCACTCCCCGGCGTGATGTCCATCCCGTCACACGCACACGCTCGCCGGAGAGATGTCAACCGGTTGCCTGGAAATAATAATAATAATCCTAACCCCTTGTGTTTGATACGGCGCCTTATCACGTCGTCGAGACGTCTCGAAGCTCTTCGCCTGATGTACGATTAGACCGACTGTATTTCGTGGGAGGGCGGAACGAGGCAGCCAATCGTGCACAGCGTCGTCCCCCACCTCCCACCCCCACACCCCTCTCTCCCCCTCCCCAGGATGTGCGGGGGCCGAGCCTCTTGTGAGTTCGGTGTCTCATTCACTTGGGTCGAGTTGTAGCCAGCAATACGTGTGGCGGGGGGGGGGGGGGGGACGTCAGCAGCAAGTCAGTCAGTCGCAGTGAGCTATAAACAGCCCAGGCTGTGATCGGCACTCTTACAATCTGCTGCGTACAAATACCAACCCGTCATCCTCCCCGGCACCTCTGTCACTGGCCTCCAGGCAGCAGCCTCGTTCGTCTCAGTCCATCTGGTCTCCCCGTCCCTCTCAGCGTGACTCACTGTCACGTCGCTGACCGGCAATCGCTAACCGTGCCGTCTGTTACCACCGGCCTGGGGTGTGGGGTGGGGGGGTGGTGGCGGGGTGTTGTTTGGTCAGCACCGGCTGTTCCTGATCACAGGCTGGCGTTAGAGCCGGCAGCCGAGTGCTGTGATCGCACGTGCGTCCCCCCGTGGCAAAGCGAGCGAGGGGACCCGGGTTCGATTCCCGGGCGGGGTGAAAGCTTAGGCGAGTTTCCTTACTCCACCCACACACGCCTCTGTTTATCTAGCGACAGCAAGGAACCCGGTTGTTAGTCGATCGGGGGATCGCTTTCCGGGGGGGTTACAATCCCTCAAAAATATATATATTTGGGGTTACTCAATCCACGACTGGTTGTGGGACATTGCAAAGAGCAATTGGCGTTTTACCCACAAGATACACTGATTTATTACCTGTGTGTGTGTGTGTGTGCGTGGGTGGGGGGGTGGGGGGTGGGGAAGGGAAGCGTGTGTGTGAGAGGCAGAAAAAGAGAGCGTGTATGAGACAGAGAGTGGGGGAGAGAGAGTATGTGCATGTGTGTATGAGAGAAAACGCGTAGGAAAGAGAGGGGGCGAGAGCGTGCTTGCGTGAGAATGACTGTGTGTGACAGAGAGAGAGAGCGCACGTCTGGTCTTTCACACCTCGTGTAAATGTTAATTGAACGCATTACAAATGAGAGTGAGCTCACAGCCTTTGTTTGGAGTTTGGGCGGGGGGAGAGATGGTGGCTGGGCTCATTAATGCTCTGCTGCTATTCAGGAGGTAAAGACCGTTCACTCGCTCATACGCAGAGGAAGAGCGAGAGATGGTGAATTGGGGGCTGTGGTTTGCCCGAGAGCCTTGGAAATGTGATTACTTTCAAAACACATTCTTAGTAAAATAACTACCTGGTCCCAGACGTACTTAGTATTCACGTTATTTATTCTGTGAGTTACATCTGTGGCTCGGGAGGCGTGGGGAGCAGCGAGCACAAGAGCTGCTGCGAGACGGGCTTTCATCCTGATTTAAAGTCTGCGGCCGTGCTCGGCAAAAGTCATTTTTCTTACCTTTCCCCCTCCCTCCTCGCCCGCGCTCTCCTCTGCCCCAACCCCCTCTCCCCTGAGGCTCGGTGGGTGGGGGGGGGGAAGGGGGGAGGATGGGGCGGGGGGGCAGAGACGGAGTGAGATGAGGTGAGAGGTGCAGGGCTGACTCACGCCTAATTGGGCGCATGGACGCACAGCCGAGCACGACGGGGATCACCGTGTTTGGACAAAGATTTGACGGTGACTTTACGGCTGACTTTACAGCGCATGGCCTGGATTAACTTTAAACAGCGGTTACAGATGACTGTTGTTCGGGGATTTAAGGCGCAAAGTACTGAGGAATCTTAACCCTGGCCGCGACTGTCCTGAGGTCTCTCAGATCTTAAGGTGAACTCAAATCCGTGCTAATGAGCGCTGTGAAAGTCTTGAGCATTAATCTGTCAGAGAGAGAGAGAGAGAGATCCAAGTTTCATCTCGTGCGTTTCGGTGGGGAAAGCACTTTGGCACATTTAATCTCACCCTCTGGATTAGCAGGTTGTGGGTTCCAGCCCCATTATCAGGAACGTGATGAGCAAATACCTGCCTAATCGATTAACGCATCGCTTTCCAGGGGCTAATAATCCCCCCAAAATAATCCCGTCCGCCTTCTTCAACCGTCCGTCGCCTCTAACACCTTTAACGGCACGGGTGCAGTTATTAATGTTCACGTTGACAGCGATCCCGGGAGAGAGGCGACAGACTGTCAGCCTCGGACCTCCGCTCCCTGTCGCTCGGGGCGTCTCAGCAGCAGCTTTCATCTGCGAAAGCCAATCAGTCTGATTGGAAGCCGGGAATCTCCCCGGAAATTTGTCAGCCTTCCCTGCTCGCACTGACCTGGCCGTGGTGAAGGAATCGGCAATTATTTTGCTGGGTTGGGGGCTGGGGGTTGGGGGCTGGGTTTGTGGTTGGGCTGGGGTGGGGGTGGGGGTTGGGGCTGGTGGGGCGGGTTGGGTTGGGTTGGTCCAGTGGGCTCTCTCCTCTGGAGATAATGTAGTCGTGTTCGTTAGTGCGAAGTTCTTGCTGTGTACTGACTGGCGTGTGACTGGGGTCTGACGCAGGCAGTGACAGAAGGCCGACAGGAGTGAGATCTCTCTCTTGTCAGTCGCCAGTAGTAGTCACGGGGGTGGTGGGGGGGCGGGGGGGGGGGGGGGGGGGGGGCTGACTGCTACTCACGTTCCTGTGAGTGTCTTCGTTAACCCACCCAACTCGGCACACTCAACCAGACTGGCTCCAGGTGCCTCCGCCTCTCACACTCACCCCCCCCACCCCACCACCACCCCCAACGTCCCGTCCCCCACATAAGAACACAGGAATAGGCCATTCAGCCCCTCGAGCCCGTTCTGCCATTCTATAAAATCATAGCTGATCTGAACCTCAACTCCAAATACCCACCTTTGTCCCGTACCCCTTGATACCCTGACCTAACAAAAATCTATCCACCTCATATGGGGATGATGATGATAATAATAATCATCCTTGCATTTGGTACAGCGCCTTATCATGTCGCTGAGACGTCTCAAAGCGCTTCACGGAATATACCGTAAAGCGAATTGTATTTTGGGGGCGAAATGCGGCAGCCAATTGTGCAAAGCGTCCCACAAACAGCCGTGGATTTTTTGGGGGGAGGAGGGATTATTATTACTTACTGCCGGGTAAACAGATGCACCGTCACTCAGATGAGATGTTAAATAAACCCAAGTCTCTGTCTGTGACCTGTTCTGTAAAGTGTTTCGGAACGATTTCCCCCAATCCTGTCGGATGCTCCGTGGGGGAGGGGAGGGGTTTGAGGAGGGGGGCGGGTCGCAGATTAATCCCCTTCTTATTTAAGTCTCGCCTTTCCTGTGTATTTAATTAATAAGCCATTACGGAAAGCGTAAATAGAATTGTTAGGCTGTTGAAGGTGACGTATTAATGGATTACTCGGATCCAGTCTGTTTGTAGATGGTAATTACATCTCATTTACATAATTGGATATTTTCTTTAAAGGAAAGATGTCCTCAGTCCTTGGAAATCAGAGTAATTATGAATGTAATTAACATTCATTAAAAGGGCAGAGTGTGATGCTGCTGGTGTGTGTGTGTGTGTGGGGGGGGGAGCGGGGGAGGGAGCTCTGCGTTGTCAGAGATGCCGTTCGTCGGATGAGATGTCAAACCAAATTCCCCCCCCCCCCCCCCCCACCTCGCCCTGTACAGTTGAACGTTAAAGATATTCCGATATCGGTTGGTCACTTCAAGGCGAGACGTGGCTGTGCGCTTTGAGACATCTCAAAAATGTGATGAGGGCGCTGTGTCAAACCTTGCTCGATTAAGCGCTGGCGGTGTTGTGAGTATTTGGCTGGTTTCAAGCGTTCCCACCCACCCGCCACCTCCCCACCATCTTTGCCCCTTTTCCGCCTTCCCGGGAGGACGTTCCAAGGCATTGGACAATCAGGAATTTGGATCCGAGCTGATGGGGAGGTGGGGGGCAGTAATTATGTCTCCCAAAAAAATGAATGGTCGCTCAATCCACGGTGTGTGTGTGCGCGTGCGTGCGTAAGACATCTCCTCTGGTCTCCCCGCAGGATGACCGTGACCCCCTACGAGATCATGCAGATGGATTTCCAGATGGACAACTTCAGCAGCCTCTCGGTCACTCGCCGCATCCTGTGGCAGGTGGAATATCCCGGCAGCGGCGGCGCCCAGACCGACCCCGAGAAAGCCGTGTCCGAGCTGCTGGTCAGCCAGCGAGACGTCAGCCGCATCGTGCCCCTCGCCATGGTGAGTCCCCGTCTCCACGCCTTCCCCTCCCACCGTTCCGCCCATCCTGTTGAATCGTGGCTGATCTGTATCTCGACTCGAGAGGTGAGAGAGCGGTAAACGCGTGGAACAGGCTCCCTCGGGGAGACGGCCAAAGCAAAAAAAAGAATGTCATTTGTTTCCAGAACAAATCGGGTAGATAGATTTGTGCCAGAAAATAGTATCTCGGGGACACAGTACACAGTTTGGGTCAAACGACTGCCAGGATGGTGGAAGGCGAACTTGATGGACCTCGGTTTCTTTAGCCGAGCAAATTCTTACGTTCTTATTGGCTCCAAATATCCGCCCTTTTCCCCCGTAATCCTCTGATACCCTGACCTAATAGAAATCTATCCACCTCGGTAAATTTGAATGGATCCAGCGTCCACAGTCTTTTGGTGGAGAGGGAGAGAGAGAGTGAGTTCCAGCGGGTCCATCAGTGAGGAGGGAGAGTGTGCAAGGTACTAGCGATGGAGTTATTAAAAGAAGTCACGGCCACTTAAATCTCTGTACAGCTTTTCCCGATAATCGGATTACGGGAAGCAACAAAACACGGAGATTACCAAACATGCAGCGATCAATGTCAGGATCAGATTGCTTTTTCGGAGGCTCCCCGCGATTGATGTGAACATCAGTTCGCTGGTAATCTCTTGCCCGAGGATTACAGTGCTGGCGGCAACTGCGAGATTTGCGAGGAGCAATCTTCCGACGGGTGGAAGTTTTGGCGGAAATAACTCAGGATTCGGCAGCGAGACCCGCTTACTTTCTAGGTCGTTTAGCTGATTCATCGTGGGTACGATTCCCAAGTATTATTCCTTTTTTGTTTGCTCCTGAGGCTGGCATAGGGAATCTGTAGAGAGAGAGTGCAAGTCCCAAGAGGAAACTGCCTATTTGCTCTTCCGAGTGCCCTCCCCCACCGCCCCCCCACCCCCGAGCAGATTTACATTGAGGAGTGCCCATAGTGTACCCGGGTTCGATTCCCCGGGCGGGACGGAACCGTAGGCAAGTTTCCTTCCTCCAGGCGCACACAGAGGCCTCTGTTTCGCTAGCAGTAAAGTAGGAACCTGGTTGATAGTCGACTGGTGGGTCGCTTTCCGGGGGTAATGATCCCTCCCCCATAAACGGTGGTCGCTCAATCCGCGAGTGTTTGTGGGACACCGCCGTGCACAAACTGGCTGCCGCGTTTCGCCCGCGAAATAGGCGGTCAGTCCACGGTGCGGGTTATTCCTGTGAAGCGCTTTGAGACGTCTCAACGACCCGATGAGGCTCGGCATCAAATGCGAGGACGTGTTGTTATTGCTTTAGACGCACGGTCCCTGATTAAGAAACCTGTCGCAGAAATGTCGCAAAATCGGTGATTTACAGATCAACGAATAGAAGTGTGTGCGGGCTGGGGGAGCGGAGTGAAATGTTTTATGGTCTAAAATTAAAATTGCAGACAATTAAATAGCACAAAAGGCATAATTAAACACAACATTTACAGGTGATTAATAATTACACTCAACCGTGTTCACCTTCCAACTCCTCCAACTCCCCCAGACACGCACGTGACAGCAGACCTCTCCGCTTTCTTAATTAGTCCTAATTTTAGGCGTTGGAGTTCCATTGATCTTCTCGTCCCCCCTGACCCCCCCACCCCCTCCCCCACACTCCACCCGCTGACGGAATCAGCTTCCATCAATCCCACCCGGCATTAGGTGATCGATTGCTTCCATGTTGCTCGTGAAGCGTGACTGCTCGAGCGCGCCACGGTCACGTTCAGCTTGGAGGCTCCCGTCGCGCCATTGACACAACTGTGCCGATCAGCTGATTATTCCCCCGAGGGCCTGTTGTCCGCCCAAACTCCCCCCGCCCCCTCACATCTCCCGTCCTGTTTCATTGCCTCTTCCCCCTCCCCATCTCGGGTCATCTCGTTCCCCTCCCTCCCCCCGGCCCCAGGGTCCAGGCACTGATAGCCCCCACCCCCTCCCACTCCGTGACCTCCTGTGTTGGGAACCCATGTGCGTGCGTGCGTGTGTGTGTGTTTGGAGAGGTCCAGGAGATGGTGAGAAGCAATTATTTGGAATTACATCCACCTCCTCAGCACACTCATGGCTAATGGCAGCTGTATATTTGGGGTTGTACTGCCAGCATTCATTCCCTCCCTCCCTCGCTCGCTCGCGCGCTCCCGCAGCTTTGTTCACAAAGGTGTGTGTGGGCAGGTGTGAAGCTGAGACCACATGCTGCTTTGTTGTGTTGTTCAGTGAGGTTGACCTGCTTTCTCCGCAGAGGAGGCTGTGTCACTCCGGGCGGGCGGGAGATTCCTCTCTCGTCCTTCCCCCCCCCCCCCCCCAACCCCTCCTGCCCCTTCCCCTGCGCAGGCTCTGAGCTGGAAAATTTTGCCCCCCACACAACACACAGTCGCTGCCTTTTGCAGTACACCTTGTCAAGCGCTTTGAGACTTCTCGATGACGCTATCAGGCGCTGCACAAAATGCAAGGATTATTATAATACTTTACGTCAGAGTGGCGAGGGGTGGGGCGGGGGGGAGGGGTTTCGCCCAGTCAGGCGATGTTTAAAAGTCGGGCTGGGGTTCCCGAGTGGGTGTGCACGTGTATGTGTGTGTGTATGTGTGTGCGTGTGTGATACGGACAGACAGACAGCGGTGGGATGACTGGGGCTGACTATCCCTCGCTCCCGGATAGGAGAGAGCGAGGGAGAGGGAAAGCGAGCGAGTGAGTGGTTCTGGGGCGGCTGAGGAGAGATAATTGAATAAAAAGAAGCAGCTGTTTTGATCAGCGCAGGCGGGTCTGGGCCAGGGGATTACTGAGGCCGCCCGGGATGGATGGAGGGATGGAAGGAGAAAGCTTCCCGTGTTGACTGACCAGCAACGATCCAGCCAGAATCCTCAGCCTTTTGGCCGGAGCCTGACTCGGCACTTGATAAAAGCTCTCTGCTTCTGATGCCTTAAGCCGAGCGGATATTAAGAGATAAACGTTAGTCATTTGACGGTCAGCTGTGTGCCAGGGAGCATCCTGTTTGCTGGTAGCATGCGTGCCCACGTGTTAATACGCGTGAACGTGTCAGGATCTGGTACAGGCAGTTCAACAACCTGTTAAGAAACAGGCACGAGTCTGGGTGAGAAAGCAAGAGCCCGAGGGCAGACTGTTTGTGGGGACACTGCTGTGCGCAAACTGGCGGTTCGCCCACAATATACGCAGTCCATCCACTTTACGGTAAATCCTGTGGATCGCTTTCAAAGACTCAACGACCTGATGAGGTGCTGTGTCTAATGCAAGGGTTATTAATTGATAATAATCCTCGCCTTTGATAACCAGACGTCTCAGAGCGCTTCACAGAATATACCGTAGAGTGACTCGACTGTATTTTTGTGGGCGAAATGTGGGAGCCAATTGCTCACAGCAGCGTCCCACACACAGTTGGGTATTGAGTGACCAAATTATTATTATTTTGGTGGGGGGCATTATTGCCTCCGAAAAGCGATCCGCCAATCGACTAACGACCGGGTTACTACTTACTGCTAGAAAAAAAATAGAGGCGTGTGGAGTAAGGAAACTTGCCTAAGGTGTTGCCACGGCCAGGAATCGAACCTGGGTTCTCTCGCTTGCGAGGCGAGGGCACTGTCCACTTCACTACAGGACGGACCAGACTCTTTACAGTAAACCCCGTGAAGCGCTCTGAGACGTCTCGACGATGTGATAAGGTGCTGTAAGAAATGCAAGGATTATTATTAAGACGAGAGGGGCCGAGCCTCGGGGAGGGGACGGGGAGTAAAGACCCCCGAGTTCGTGCCCGCTGTCTGATCTCTCCTGACTGCCCGGGAGGCAATGCTTTAATAGCTACAATTTTTCCCCCGCGCATTGCTCAGCCTCTCCTCTTAACACTCTTGCATAATTTATCAGAACACAAAGTACATGTCAGTCGGAATAACTCCACACGACTGAAAGCTTTGCCTCCAGCAGCCGGCACTCGCTGGGAGAGACGCTTTCACTTACACTGCTTAGGGGCTCTCAGGCTATTCCCCCAGCCTTACACTGCATCTCCCCCCCTGCATCCCCCCCCCCTCGACTCCCCCCACATCACCCCCATCGCTGACTCCCCCCGCTTCGTGTGTTTAACATTTATCAGTAACAGAGACTTCATGTTTGTCTCTCTCTCTCTCTCTCTCCATCTCCAGCTCTCTCTCTCTCTCTCTCTCTCCATTTCTGTCCATCTCACTGCTGTACGCAATTGGCTGCCGGGTTTCGCCCACAAAATATAAAGTCACTACACTCTACAGTGTATCCTGTGAAGCGCTTTGAGACGTCTCAACGATGTGATAAGGCGCTGTATTCAAATGCAAGGATTATTATTATAATATTACAGCCTCTGATAATCCAGCCCCGGTGGGGGGGCGGGGGGGGGGAAGAGTAAGGGTTGAGTTTCTGTGTGAACGGTTGGGGGAGAGGGGTAAACAGAGCTGAAGATGACAGCAAGCGCTACCAGGTTGCTTCACGATGTCAAACTATCAATGTGTTAAGTCGGGTTATTTTTATTAAATTTAATATGTAGCTTATCACAGCTCCTGGCTCCAGCCAGCAGTGAGACTTCCACTTGACTGGCTCCTCTTTGTAATGAAGTCTAATCGGCTTTAGGATTTAATTAAACAGCTGTCGCCCTGGCCTGGCCTGGCTCAGGGAGGCTGAATGGGGTTGTAAATCACTGCTGATTTAGGGGCTGGGAATCTCTGTTCCTCCTATCGCTGGGTCAGACACTGTGATGGGAACCCTGGGGAAATGTGTGTCTATATATATATATACTGTATGTAGAATTTGGTCACTCAATTCACGACTTTGTGGGACACTGCCATGCTCAATTGGCTGCCGCGTGTCGCCCACAAAACACACAGTTACCACACTTTACAGTGTATCTTGTGAAGAGACATCTCAACGAAGTGATAAGGCGCTGTGTCAAATGCAATGACCATGAGTGGGATGGGAACGTGGGGAAATGGGATGGGAACGTGGGGAAAAGCCTCTCCGACACTGCTCCCAGCCTGGTTTCCGAGAGCTTCTGTTCAGGAATTTCTTTTCTAAGTGAGTGTGGCTATTCCCCACTTACAGTCTCTTTCTCTCTCCTCTCCCCCTCCACCCCTTTCTCCCTCTCCCTCGAAGCATAAATCGAAAATCGAAGCATATCCCATTAAGCGAAGGGTCTCTCGCTGGCCTCTTCATTTCCCCCTTTCAGTCTGTTCTGTTCTTTCTCTCTCTCTCCCTCTCCTTTCCCTCTCTCTCTCTCTCTCTCCCACTCCCTCTTACCCCCCTCTCCCTCTCCGTCTCTCTCTCTCTCTCTCTCTCTCTCTCCCTCTCTCTGTGTGTGTCTTGGCCCTGGTGGAATCTACATGCTAATTGTGGGATGAAGGGAAAGTGCTGGAGGCAGGGATTATAGCCTCTACAACATCCGTCTTCCGCTAGTTAGATTAAACCACAAAAAGTTAATTACATTCCCTTCAGGATCTCACTGTGCCAACTTGTGGGAAAATCCTCCTCACTATTTTATTTGATCTTTTGCGTTCCCTCCTTTCCTTTATTCCAAGTTTAATGCTCCCTCCCCCCCCGCTCCCTCTCACACACTCTCTCTTTCCTCCTCTCCCTCACACTCACTCTCTCTTCTCTCCCTTAGTCACTCCCAACTCTCTTCCCCCCCCTTCCTCAGCTCTCTCCCTACCTCCCCCCTTCCCTCCCTCTCTCTCCCCCATCCCCCTCCTCCCTCTCTCTTTCCCCCCCACCGCCTCCCTCGTGATCACTCTCTCCTCTCCTTCATGCCCACTCTCTTTCCCCCGCCCTCGCTCTCTCTAATTCTCCCTCAAGCCCCGCCATCTCTCTCTTTCTCTCACTCCCCCTCACTCCGCGAGTATCACTCTGGGAGCCTCTGGTGTTGGGTTTAATGAGACCACATCAGTCAAAGGAGCCACTAACGTCACAATAAACCCCAAGCGAGTAACCGAGAGCTCAGTCTGAGCGAGCGAGCGAGCGAGAGCGCTGGGCGTGTGTGAGGATGTGACATAGCGACAGATCAGCCATTAATCACCTTCATTTCTGGCATGAAGTCACGTGTAACTTTCCGTTGATGGAATTCATTAAAACGCGGGGATGGCAAGTGGTGCGGGGAGAGGGGGCGGGGAGGGGGGAGCTCAAAGCATCTGAACTTGATGCTGAAAATAAATCTTTCTGGTAATATTTCTTCCTGCTCTGGTTTTCGTGAAGGTCGTGAGCTGTTGTAACCTTTCACATCAGACAGTTGTATTGCGCTCGTTCGTGCATCGTAACAAAGCGAGCGGGTGAGGGAGCAAAGAGTGGGGGGATGTGTAGGGGGAGGTGTGCGGGTGGGGGGGAGGGGTGTGTTTGGGGGGGGGAAACGAGGTGTGTGTGTGTGTGTGGGGGGAGAGGTCGGGGGGAGATGTGTGTGTGTGTGGGGGGGTGGGGGGTGGTGCAGTTCCAAGGTCCCAGCATGAGACCTCGGAGAGGCGTTTGTATTATTATTAAACACTATGTGGGGGGTGGGGAGACCAACGCTCTCTCCCCCCACCCCCCCCCCCAACACCACATCTTAACACTTACACCTCGCTAGTCCTGGCTGCTATACGGTCACTGATTTTAATTATTAACAGAACTGGGGGAGGGGGGGTGGGATTTGTAACAAGCTGCTGGCCAAGAGTCTCTGGGTCATTAATAAAATAAGTGGTGGGGGGGGGTTTAAGGAATGTCTGGCCTCAGCGTGTGCGGAATTGATTCCCACGAGCGCCTAACGAGACCCCCATCGGCAGAGTCGTTCGAAAGGAAAGGGCGGTGGAGGGAAGAGGGCCAACTCCAGGGGAGGGAGAATGGGGCGGTTAAACAGGACTGAAAAGATAATAAAACATTACAATAATTAATCCTTGCATTTGACCCAGTGCCTTATCGCGTCATCGGGACGTCTTAAAGCGCTTCACAGGATACGGTGTAAAGCGCAGTGTCTGTGCGCCTGTGTATTTTGTGGCCGAAACGCCAATTGGTGGACAGAAACAGCGACAAGCCTGCAAACAACCGTGATGTGAATGTGCGATTTTATTTGTGTGTGTGTGTGTGTGTGAAGGTGGGGGTTTTGACAGCCAGGACACAGGTTGTGGTGGGGCGGAGGGGGTGGGGGGGGGAGAGAGAGAGCTTTCGAGCTGAGCGCACAAGCAGGGAAAGGTCAGGGGAAAGAGCTGTAATTTGGTACAACGTTAAGTGAGAGGATGGGTGTGTTTCACTGGGTGAGATGATGGTCGACCTTGCTTGCTGGTCTGTCTGCGGATCCTGCATGTAATCACTCACCCGCTGTGTTACTGCAGCTCCTCCTAACGCAGGTCACGTTACACTAACGGGGGGTCAACACATTGTCTGCATTGTCGGTTAGGACAAGGGGTGAGGGAGCAAGGGGAGAGGGGCTCCAGCCTCCTGACTCCGTAGTGAGAGTGTGACCGACTGAACCAAAGGCTGACACCGACCGCTTGTTAAATCTGCCTTAGGTTCAACCAGCCTCCCTGACGTCCGCTGATCTGGTCAATAATTATCCACTGGGGGAAAGAAATCCTTCTTGGTCAGTGTGAAGGCAATGTCAGGGGTTAATCTCTCTCTCCCTCTCTCTCTTTCCCTCTCTCTCTCTCTCTCTCTCTCTCTGCTTGCATTATTGTTAGAGTCCCATGGCTAGTACTAGTTAGAACACTCGCCTCGCAAACGAGAGAGCCCGGGTTCGATTCCAGGCCAGGACAGAAGCTTAGGCTAATTTCCTTACTCCGCCCACACGTCTCTGTAAGTAGGAACCCGGTTGCTAGTCGATCGGTGGATCACTTTCCAGGGATAATAATCCCTCCTAAATAAATAGATAAATAAATAATAATTTTTGGTCACTCATTCCACAACTGTTTGGGGAGTGGGACTAGTTGGGTAGCTCTTTCAGCGCGCCGGCACGACAGGCTGAATAGTCTCCTCCCGTGCCTCTTAAGATTCTGTGATTGTATAACCTTTGCCGGTGTGTTTATTTCACAGCACACGGAGATCGTGAACACGGCTATCCTGACGGGGAAGACAGTGGCGGTGCCGGTGAAGGTGCTGGTGGTGGAGGAAGACAGCACAGTGACCGATGTCTCCGAGCTCGTAGCCTGTAAATCCTCGTCCGACGATGTACTGAAGGTAGGTCCTCGGCGAATACACCCAGCTGTTCCCCATCCACCGGGATTAACGTGTCCACCCCAGCCTGGCTAGCGGCTGGTGGCATTCCATTCCCTTCCGGCCGCTCCCGAGTTGGTTAGTGAAGCTGGAATTCTGCTAACTGGACGGCTGATAATAATAATAATCCTTGCGTTTGATACAGCGCCTCATCACGTCTTCGAGACGTCTCAAAGCGCTTCACAGAATCTACTGTGGGCGAAACGCGGCAGCCAATTGCGCGCAGCAGCGTCCTCACACACAGCCGTGGATTGAAGTGACCAAATTATTATTATTTATTATTTCATTTATTTTGAAGTGATTATCACCCCCGGCAAAGCGATCCACCAATCGCCGAACACCCGGGTCTCCCAGTTACTTGCTGGGAGGTAAACAGAGGCGCGGGATTGCTTTGGAAAAGGGAATGACCATTGTAAAGAGGTGTCGGGTGTGTATGGGGGCGTTGTAGGGTGTGGGATGGGGGGTTCAGTGTGCTGTGGATGCTGAGGTGGATAGATGTTTGGTAGGTCAGGGTATCGAGGGTATGAGGTAAATGGAGTTGAGGTACAGATCAGCTCATCCTGTGTCTATGTTTCTGGGACCTTATTATGACCGTTTCATGCGGCTGGATTATTGCCCGGGTCAGCTGCACTGCGTGGAATATACCATCCTGACACTCAGCAGGTTTGACTCAGACAGACCAAGCGAGCACCCCCCCAAAACAATATCACACAGCGGGTGGGGGTGGGGGGGCAGTGGGGGGGTGGGGGGAGAGGGATGTGGGGTGGGGAGAAATAATAATAATAATAATAATCCTTGCATTTGATATAGCGCTTTTCACGTCTTCCAGACGTCTCAAAGCGCTTCACAGAATATACTGTAAATTAAATTGACTGTATATTTGTGGGCGAACGCGGCAGCCAATTGCGCACAGCAATGTCCCACAAACAGTCGTGGATTGAAAATGACCAATTTATTATTGTTTTTGGTTTTGGAGGGATTATTATTAGGCTCTGTGTGGAGTGAGGAAACTTACCCAAGGTTTCGCCCTCTGCCTGGAATTGAACCCAGGGGTCTCGCTTGCAAAGTGAGTGCTCTAACCACTGAGCTACAGGACTCCACAAATGGTTGTGTGAGAATCATAGACTGGTTAAGATTTCCTCTTGGATTGTACGCGTGGACTTAGCGTGCACAGCTGGACTGTGTACACGTGGGGTTAATGGGGTAATTACAGAATAAATAAGCGGGCGTCACAGGCCTGTTGGCAGACCAGCTCCTCACACGGCTTATCCGTGGATTAGCTTGATCACTGAGCGATGTGTGATATGAATTTGATCACACGGTGTCATAACACACTGCAGCAATCTCTCGTCTGTCATAAATCAGCTGCATTCCAGCGCCACTCTGTCCTGTATGTATGTAGACACTGTCTGCAACACTGAGGTGTGCTGTAAACGCCTGTGTGTGTGGTGTGTGTGTTGTGTGGCATGTGTGCGTGTGTGTGTGTACACAACGCCTGTTTGTACGTTTTTCCCAATATCTCTAGATTGTCTTGTGTGGATTTGTGCATTGTGTTAATAGACAGCGAGAAAGTCAGAGAGAGAGCGAGAGAAAGAGAGAGAACGTCATAGAGAGTCATATATATCAATATATCGCGGCAGAGTGAGAGTAAAAGTCATAGAGACAGAGTGTTTTTTATATATATATATATATTTATAGAGCGAGAGAGAGAGAGTGTGAAAGTCATAGAGAGATGAAGAGAAAGTCATTGAGAGCGAGAGAAAGTCAGGAAGAGTGTCATAGATGATGGGGGAGAGAGAGAGAGCAGGGGAATGGGGGTTAGCGGAGAGAGCTCCAGTGTGTGGGGCGGGGGGTGGGGGTGTGTTGTGGGGGGGTGGTGGACGCGAGCACCAGCACAGACACGACAAGGCTATTGTAAACATAGGAAGAAGCTTCCACCAAAATGAAATGTAAGCATTCAGGTTATATCGAGGGGCGTCGGGAGAAGAGAGGCACCTATTGGCTTAACGTTCTCGCCTCTGGAGTGTAAGATCACACATGTTCCCGTCTGCCCTGAGAGCAGGAAAACTCCTGTGGTTCCCACGTGGGGCCCCAGCTGTGTAATACCTGCTCACAGCCCAGCTGACACCCGCTCGCACTGACTCAATCGCTCTCAGTTCAGCTCTTCACATCAACACCAGCTGCCTGGTAAAGCCGTGGCTGAGCCACGGAACCTCCTATCCAGCCTACATTCAGTTGCCTGACAGCGAGAGACCGTAAGGAGCTGTGGGGATGAGATCATGTCAGAGAGCGCGTGAGAGATATTCTCGATGAACTCTCTCTCTCTCTCTCTGAGAACGTCTCACCCGAATGGCGATTCAGAGATACACCAGCTATCATCACACCAGCACACCACTGGTGGAGAGGAGGTGACTGAGACCCTTTGGTCAGAACAAGGACCCCCCCTCTCTCTCTCTCTCTCTCTCTCACACACAGACGCAGTTTCCCATCACAGAGTCAAGTCGCTTCTTGGCTGAGTTTCAGAGTCCTGACCTCAGACAACTGTTCCAATTATTGCCCCCACACACACACCACACAAACTGCGGCCCTCCGACGATGAGAGTATAGTCATGCGTTTCCTTTCTTAATCCCATCGAGTATCTCACAGAGTATCCACACGGTTTCTCTCGCTGAGAATATCTCCTTGCATTCCCTCCCTCTCTCTCGCTCTCCGTGTAAAGCCTGAAGAGCCCAGGGCTCGCGTGTGCCCTCAAGCGAATGCCCCTGTGGGACAGAAAGCCACAGAAGGCAACTCGTGGGCATTAGCCTCCTTTACTTGCTAGTTATGTCTCGTCAATTGTCGGCCTCCTGTAATGGAACTAATTGCTGTAACAATAGCGGAGTGCGCGCTGGGGGTGAGGTTGGGTGGGGGGGGGGGGGAGAGAGAGAGAGGGGCACCAGGTGCCTTGAAAACACTAAGCACAGCTGAGACTGTGAAACAGCAGAGGTCAACACAAACAATGTGACAAGGATTTAATAGGAGCCAGGAGGAGACACTAATTTGAAGTGATCGATAGCAGCTCTGGCCGAGCGCGGAGAGCTGAGAGCCTCGCCGGCTTATTATCTGCAAACTCATAATCGCGCTTATTCTTGCAGCGTTCCCTCTGTGGCCCGGGGCTGTGTGTGTGTGTGTGTGGGGGGTCTTCCTACCTCCCACCGACTCCCCCAGCCCCCCGTGATCGTTCTCCGTCTCGGCGCGGCTCACCCCCTCGAGGGGAGGAAGAGGTGGGTGGGTGGGGGGGAGAGTGAGGTGGGTGGGGGGGAATACCTCCCAGCAACTCGCCACGATACCCATCCCTCCAGCGCCTGACACAATCGGTGAACGTCACCCGCTAGCTCAGAGGTCAGCGAGAACACAGGAACTGGCTCACAACAGCTGGTTATAGCCTACTATCCCCCTACTTACCTGCCTGTACCCTCTCGACTCTCTACCCCCTCCTCACTCCCTCCCTTCCCTCACCCTGACCCCCTGCTCGGGTCCTGACCCAACTGTCCAGTGCCTTGGAACGTCCTCCCGACGTGAAAGGCGCTGTATAAATGCAATCTTGTTGTTGTTATAATAATAATAATAATCCTTGCATTTGATATAGCACCTTATCACCTCGTCGAGACGTCTCAAAGTGCTTCACATGATGTGGGATACTGTAAAGTGGGATCGACTGGGTGTTTCTGTGGGCGAAACGCGGCAGCCAATTGCGCACAGCAGCGTCCCCACAAAGAGCCGTGGATTGAAGTGACCAAATTATTAATTTTTTTTTAGAGGGATTATTAACCCCGGATTGCCATCCGTCAATCGACTACCCCCTCTCCCCGACTCCCCCAGCCCCCCGTGATCGTTCTCTGCCTCGGCACGGCTCACCCCCTCGAGGGGAGGAGGTGGTGGGTGGGGGGAGAGTGAGGTGGGTGGGAATACCTCCCAACATCTCGCCCATCCCTCCAGCGCCTGACCGCTAGGTAAACCGGTGTGTGTGGAGTAAGGAAACTTGCCTAAGGTTTCACCCCGCCTGCGAATCGAACTCGGGACCTCTTGCTCGCGAGGCGAGAGCGCTAACCACTCCACTTATAGAGCTCCGTTGCGTAAAGAAGCATCTTAAAGCGGTTCGACATCAGTGAAGTACGGACTAACCTGAAGGTCTGCTGCCAGGTTCTAAAACACAATTCACTCGCAAATTTTGCGAACTCGTATAAGCAGAAGCATTAATGCACATTTTATGCTTCGAGGGCAAATGCGAGGTGACAGGCCATGGATTAAGGTACAGGAATTTGTACAGAAATGTTATTACTTAACCACAAAAGGAATAATACAGGAAATTGAGACTGGAGGAGTAGGTGTGTAATGGAATTGTGCGGTGACACAAATATAAATCAGCCGGGAATCTGCTGTAACACGACATATGAAATCCCCTCCGTCTCCCCGTTTGCCCCCCCCCACCCGGCATAGCCACAATCAGGCAGATTGGCGGTAGGTGTTCACAGCGAGCAGTGATTTACAAGGTGTTGATGGGGAGCTGAGGTTGGCACAGAGTAAGAGGCAACGTTATAGCGGGTCACTCAGGATAGAGCGTGCGTGAGGGAGGATGTGTGAGCGCGTGAGGGAGGGTGTGTATGTTTGTGCGCGCGAAGGTATGTGTGTGTGTGTGTATATCAAATGCAAGGATTATTATTATTATTATTATATGTGTGTTTGTGAGTGTGTGTGTGTGTCTTGAGTGCATGTATGTGTTCGTGTTCACCTGTGAGGGTGTGTGTGTGTATGCTTGAGAGCGGGCGTGCGTGTGAGCGGACGTGCGTGTGAGTGAGTGGGCGTGCGTGTGAGTGAGCGGGCGTGCGTGTGAGTGAGCGGGCGTGCGTGTGAGTGAGCGGGCATGCGTGTGAGTGAGCGGGCGTGCGTGTGAGCATGTGCAGGAATTGATAGGCTGGAAACG